TCAAGAACCAAATGCTGTTCCACCAACTCCTCCAACAAGAGCCCGTCGTAGACTTTCACCTCGGGCAGAAACCCGCCCTCCACCCCTCCTTCCCTCACTTCCTCATTCTCCTGCCCCCCACACCCTTCCTCCCCCGCCCGGCCTCCTTTCATCACCTTCTCCAACGCCATTAAGCCCAGCGCGTGGAAATCGTTCCCGGTCAAGTCGATCGCGTGCAAGCGTGCCAACGCAGGCGCTCGTCGCAACGCCGCGGCCAAGGCATGCATCCCCGCGTCCCCAATGCTGTTGTTCGACAGCTCCAGCCGTTCCAGCGTGGCCATGGGCTCTTCCTCCCTCCCCCCTCCCCCTCCCTTGCAAACTTGCTCGGCAAAGGCTACCATGCCCGTGTCCCCGAGGTCGTTCCAGGCCAAGTTTAAGCATTGAAGCGACGTGGTTTGGGCGGTCATGACCCGAGCCAAGGCCATTGCCCCCGGCGCCGCGACCCAATTCCCCGACACATCCAGACGACGCAATCGAGAACAACGTCCCTCCTCCAAGGCCCGCCCCAAGGCCTGGACTCCTCGGTTGCCCACGTAGTTCTTGCTGAGATTCAGGCTTGTCAAGCAGGAGGCAGGACTGGCCACAGGAGCCCCGGCAGACAAGGCGGCTGCCAAAGCCTCCACACCTGCATTTCCGATTTTGTTGCTTTCTAATTCCAAACGTGCCAAGCGGGGCAACTTCCCAGGGCCAATCACCAGGGACGCGAAGGCCTCCAGGCTCTCGTCCGTCATGCCCGTGTAGCTCAGCCACAACTCCTCCATGCGCGCCCCTGCCTCCATTGTCGCCAACGTCTCACACAGCAAACCTCGGCTGCCTCTCGCCGCTTCTCCTTCCCGCCTGCTCTCCCCCACGGAGCCCAGATCGTTGTCAGCCAGGTCCAATACCCGGAGGTATATCCCCGCCCCGGTCAAGGCGGTCAAAAGCCTGGCCACCCCTTGTGCCGTAAATTGGTTTTGGGAGAGCTTCAAGACACGAAGCCGAGAAAAGGGGCCAGAAGAGGTGGTGGCGAAGGAAGAGGAGGAAGGGGAAGAAGATGAGGAGGAGACGGAGGGAAGCAAGAAGGCCGTCACCTCGCGCGCCATCGCCTCCAAACTCGCGTCGCTCAGATTGTTCCCGTCCAGATTCAAGCATTCCAGCTCTGTCAATCTTCCTATTCCATGCCATAGCAAGGCAAGGTGATCATCATCTAATCCCAAGCCGACCATATGAAGCTCCCGGAGGCGCGGTAGCAGGGGCCTTCCAACATCAAACGGCCAGGGCAGGATCTCCACCGCCGAAAAGTAGGATTCACGGACAGAACGAGGGGGGAAAAGCCTTGTCAAAGGATGGGTGGAAGCATTGTGGACGGAAAAGCTTTTTCCTCCGGGGCCCAAATGCAGGCATTCCAGGCATGCAAAAGCCGACCAATCCACCATATCGGAGCGGGGGAACGGAAGTTGAAGGCGTCGCAGGGTCTTAGGAAAGGCTCTGTAGTGACGTTTGCCCACCAAACGACAGCAAAGAACGTCTTTGACGGGGAGAAAGGACGCCATGACAGTCAGCAACGACTCCGGCAATCCAATCAGGGGATCGTCCGTAGTCTTGGCATATTCATGCTTTGGGCCTTGCCCGCACGTCCTGGACGCTACAGAGCGAGACAAGGACATTCCAGACACAGAAGCCGTGCACGTCTGATCATGTTCGCGGCTATCACGGTACGCAATGACAGAGCGGGTCAACGGCGTGTGCCTGCTTTCCTCATTCAGGCGGGCATATCGCGGGGTCATAGAGGTATCAGCCCCTTGAGGGGCACGGAAATGCCGGCGAAATTGATTGCTGCGTTTACCGTCAAGGAATGGATGCCTACGTGAGTAAAAGAAGATGCAGGGCTGTGTCAGTCGAAAGGATCAGCATAGCAAAGGCAACAGGTAATGAAGCAAGCATGCTGATCCCGAGAAAAAGGGGGAACAACAGCAAAAGTATCCAGAGAGTTGACACATGCCGCACCCAAATAATGCCAAATGACTAGAGTGCGAGCACTTTTCCACGCCCCTTGTTCCTGCATCGTGTGGGTGGGTGCTCGGAAGTCTTCCTGACAAATAGCGAGGTAATGTGGAATACCAAATCATGCGCATGGCTACAACGAGTGAAAGCGCAAGCGATCGTGCTGTTGCCTCGGTGGCTTTTCGAGAGCCTGCCAGCGATTACAACTTATTAAAGCAGAAAATGTGCAATGACCTTACATTTGATTGCAAACAAAAACAATCAGGCACAACATGATTGCTGTTTAATGTTCAATGACAGGGTTGTTGATTCCATCACTGTCGATCGACAAGGGATACACACGCCCTTGGCAAGGCATGAGGAGGTTGTCGTAGTGGTACACTAATATCAACTCCAAGACGTTCCATTGCCCCACACACATGCAAATATACTAGCCTCAACGAACCCATTTCGTCCTAGCACCATCATCCTTGCGCTCAAGTCTCTCATGTCAGATTACTTGGCATTGTCCAGGACCTCCACACCTGGCAGGAGTTTGCCTTCCACAAATTCCAACATAGCGCCCCCACCCGTCGACACATGAGAGATTTTGTCGAAAAGACCCAGTTTCTGCACAGACACCAGGGAGTCTCCTCCACCTACCACGGCCAGCCCTCCTTTCTGGGACAAAAATGCCGCCATCCGCGTCACGGCGTCGGTACCCAGGGCGTAGCGCGGAACCTCGATCACCCCCATGGGCCCGTTCCAAAAGAAAGTCTTGGCGTCCTTGATCTCGTTGTGGAAGTCCCCCACCGTCAAAGGACCAATGTCCACCCCTACCCCATCGCCTTGATACGTGGCCACGTCCGCGTGCAAGGCCCTGCTCTGGTTCGCTTCCGCCACATCGGGCGCGACCACAAAGTCTCGTGGCAACACGACCTTCACCCCTCTGGCCTCCGCCTTGTCCAGGAATGCCTTGGCCATGGGCACCAGGTCCTCCTCCACCAGGCTCCGCCCAATTTCACGGCCCAAGGCCTTGTTGAATGTGAACATCATGCCTCCCCCGATCAAGATGGTGTCGCATGTCGCCAGCAGGGACTCGAGCACCGGGAGCTTCGTCGAGACCTTGGAGCCCCCAATACAGGCCACGACTGGATGCTCCGGTGCGGCCATGATGCTGCCCAGCGCTGTCAGCTCCTTGTCCAGCAGCAATCCCGCTACCTTGTGCGCCACGAATTTGGTGATGCCATGCGTGGAGGCATGCGCCCGATGGGCCGCACCGAAGGCGTCATTCACGTAGATCTCCGCTCCCGACACCTCTCGCAATTGTTTGGCATACAAATCGTCGTTCTTGGTCTCACCTGCATGGAACCGGGTGTTCTCCAATAGGACCACCTCTCCAGCCGACGCTTCTCGCACGAAAGCCGCCGTCGCCGCTCCCGCCGAGTCAGGGGCTAGGCGCACGGGGACACGCACGACCTCCTCCAAGACGGAAGCCACGGGCGTCAAGCGCTGGCCCTCCACCACCACTCCTTTCGGCCGCCCCAAATGGCTGCTGACTATCACTTTGGCCCCCTGGTCGAGGAGGAAGCGAATGGTCGGGGCCGACAGGGCAATGCGAGTCCGGTCCTGCACAGTGCCATTTTTGACTGGGACATTCAGATCGGCGCGGACAAGGACACGTTGGCCCTGGAGGGATACCTCTTTGGCCAAGTCAGCAATTGTTTTCTTTTTGGGTTTGCCTGATGATGCCGCAACCAGCCCCCGACGTAAGAGGGTCGTGGGCGGCCAGCGCATGGGAAGTGCAGAGAGGAAACAGAGAGGGTTCTCGATCTAGACGAACAAGCCTGTGCCGTGGCAGGGAGTGAATCAAGCGTTTTCCTTCAAGAACCAAATGCTGTTGTCCAAGATCGACAAGGATACCATTTTCTTTGTCATGATGATATGGAATAGAATCCGAATAAGGCATGAGGTAGTAGTTGCGTGCTCGGAAAGGAAATTCATGGCATTGGGAGAAGGTCGGTTATGAGAGCTCCAAGCGATATGAGGAAACAGATCAAAGGCTTGCACTTTTTTCTCCTTCTCCTGAAGTGCGTGCCTTTTGGGTCTTGCAACACCTCGAACTATCCACGGGCGGTACCCCTGGACAAAGTCTGTATAACAGGCCGAACATGATCGTATTGTGTCATTTCCCTTCAGGACATCCCCCCTGAACGGGTTTGGACACCGCGGCTTGAGACTGCTTTTTTTATAACTTTTTTTTTTCAGTGCGGAACAAATGCGACGGAGCTTCAATTTTAATTGCGGCAATGTTGTTTCACGGCATAAGCTTGCGTTGTGCATGATGGGGAAATAATTTCTGGGCGTTGCCCACGGAGCTTGATCTAAAAGTGTTGTACCGTGTGCAACTCTTTTCGAATCTTGTCGCGGTGTAAGTCGACGATGAAAAAAACCCCGCGTGCCTCCGAAAGGGTCCAAATTAAAATACCCTGTGAACCCGTTTTCACTCAACAGGTTTTGGCATTTGGAATAAGACGGCCTTATTCTTGTTGACGCTGCTTTCCTCCTGTGCTTTTTGATCCCTCGTCATGGGTTCGACAGAGCCCACTGCAAACTGTAACGGGGCCGCTGCTCCTTTAGGGCCCGCTGTGAAAGTCGACGTAACAGAAATCGCGAAACCTTACAGGGAGGAGGTTCGTGCAGCCATCCACGACAGATACGGGGGTGTTGGCCCGAAGCTGGTGGCTTTCTTGGCAAATACCGTACGTTCGATGGGGGGATAACGAGGCTCTGAAAAGGGCGTGGGGGCCGACGGAGCTCCCGATTGTCTCTCTTTCGGCGTTCCATTCAGTTACTCAATATGAATCGTGTGTCTAACAGTGTGTGTAGTCCTGGCAGACCATTTTTAAAATCCCCGCTCTTGCTTGGTCCCATTTTGACCCTCCCTTCCTTCGGGGCCTCGGATTTCCACAGGACCCTTACGCCCGACAATACGCCGAGTGGACGGGCAGGGCCTGCGAGGCGGACGGCATACGATACGAGCTCCGCATCATCAACGAGAACGAGCTGGAACAGAAACTGTACGAAGCAAACGAGGACGCAAGCGTGCACGGCATCCTCATCTACTACCCGGTTTTTGGCTTCTTCCCCTCGTTCTACGGGGGCTCCATGGATGACTACCTACGCGACTCCGTTTCCTTCAAGAAAGACGTGGAAGGTCTGTCCTTCACATACCGATTCAATCTCTACCGGAATATACGCTTCATGGACGCCGCCACCTCCGCCCCTGCCCGCGGCCCTGAACTGAAATGCCTGCTCCCATGCACCGCCCTCAGCGTGGTGAAGATCCTGGAAAGCATCGGTGGGTACGACCTGAGCCTTCCGGTCGGTGAGAGGATGACGGGTAAGACGGTCAGCATCATCAACCGGAGCGAGATCGTGGGCCGGCCGCTGGGCGCCCTCTTAGCCAACGACGGCGCCGACATCTACAGCGTTGACATCGACTCCATCTACCACTTCCGCCGGGGGCAGCTCCTGCAAACGTCCGAGACCCCCGAAAGCGCGGTGCGTCGGTCGGACGTGATCGTCTGCGGTGTTCCAGTCAAGGACTACAAGCTCCCGACGGCCTGGGTGAAGCCGGGGGCCATCGTGGTCAACGTGGCGAGCTACAAGAATGTGGAGGAGGAGGCTCTGTTGCAGGTCCCGGGCGTCAAATTCGTGCCCTTGGTGGGGAAAGTGACGATTGCCATGTTGGAGCGGAATTTGATGCGGCTGTTCGCGCAATATCACGCCGAGGCCGCGCCGGGAAAGGACTTTCGGTACTACTTGGAAAACCGACCACCCGCTCAGGAGGGACCAAAGTAGGGAAGGAGGGAGGGGGAGGGGAAGGGAGGGAGGGAGGGTCTTTGCGAAGCCCCGCACAAT